TGCAGCAGTCCGTGGGCGACTTGCATTTTACATTTTTAAAAATTATTATTAAGTAGAAAATTAAATTTAAAAAAAGTTATTTTGTATTTATATTCTAAAAAGTGTCAAATCTAAAAAGTGTCAAATCCTTAAACATGTTATGTGTAAAATCTAAATTTAGCACATTTACTTCTAGATTACTGTAAAGAATTTTAAGTATGATAAAATCTTTTAAATGTCTAAATTCTATTTGATTTTTTGAGATTATAACAATTTATTTTAGCCGAACCTGTTTTGAAGAAATAAGAATCATGTATAGACTAAAAAAAATATCTATAGTGCATTATTGTAAAGAATAATCTTACACTGCTTCATTTTGGGAAATTAACATTTTTTTGCCATTTAAACCTAGTTTATATTAAAATATAAATTATAAAGAGAAATTTATACATTCTATAGGAATATGTAATTTGGTAATAAAGAAAGCCATTTTTAAGATTCAAGACTTTTGAAAAATAAAGAATTGATATGTACTTTAAAATTTAAAATAACACTTTACTAATCTTTTTAATTTATTTGGTTCAAAACAAAATTTCATTTCATTTGAAGTTAATGAAATTGAGATTTACTAATGCAGATATAAATTTCTAATATTGATTATAGAAGTTACTGTTATTTAAATTCAAGTCATATTTATATATTTTAGAATTAATTAAATCTAGTTTATTAGAATCATATTAATAGATTTCATTAAATAAATATTATATACTTTACTTAAAATAACTACATTATTATGAAAACAACCATTTTATATCATAAAAGAATGAGTTTACGACAATTTGATTACATATATAAATTAATTTAAGAAAAGTACAAAATATCAATTATAATTACTTATATTAAAATCACTTTTTCTATTTATGTTGAGATTATCTATTCAAACTTTAATTTGATCCCAACAAGTCGCTTAGTCCTTTTTTGACCTTTTGTTAAGATTGTGCAGAATCCTGATTAACTAATAGTTTTCCTTATGCTGAACTAAATAATTTGTGATATTATTAATAGAGTAACTGAGATGAGACTTTTGTCTCTGTTTGAGTATACGAGACATTCTTTTAAAAATTAATTGATGAATTATTAGGAAAGGAAGGAGCGTAAGTTTTATTAGGTTGTTGTTACGTTTGAAAGAATTGTTTGGTTGTTTTTGAGTTTTGTCTAGGATTTATAAATCCATTTAGGGCAGATTATAAAAATTTGGATTTTTTAGAATTGGATCTTTCTGAAATCTTTTACTTAAGTGGATTGGCTGGATCTTATTATTGGAAAGAATCATAAAATTTTTCACTTTCCTATTGTTATTATGGTTTGACCTTCTAAGTTTATGGTCTTTCTCTTAATTGATCAGAAACAGGAGGAGGAGAAGGCAATTAAGAATTAAAATCTTCTTAATTTCTTATACTATATCTTTTCCTGATGGCAATTTCTTCATATAGTTTGTCTCTGTATTCATTTGCTGTGAACTTCTCATTGTCATCAATTGCTAATGTGATAATTTTGTCTGAGATAGGTTCTTCATCAACATTGTGAAAACTATTAGGATTAGATGTAAATTACTTTGAAAAATAAGGATGAGCCAAAGCTTTCTCAGCTGTGAGTCGACTATTTGGGTTAAACTTTAATAAACTAAATATTAAATCCAAAGCATCATCACTTGCAGTGGGAAATATTTAATGAATGGGTTTTACTTATGGAGGACTGATTGCCCCTAACATAGTTGAGGCTAAGGGGCTTTGTATTGCTTCAACATCCTCAAGAGATGGCCAACCAGTCAATTGCAAGATTCTATCTAACTAATTTAATGTTGAATTGCCAGGAAATATGGGCTTTCCTGTCAGTAGTTCCCCTTTATATTATTAAAATTTTTGATACCTAGAATACAACCAATACTCCACATGTCTACTCCTTTTGTGTATGCGTGAGAACCCAATAAAATCTCAGGCGCTCTGTACCATCTGGTTGCTACATATTCAGTTAAAACTGGAGATGGTGCATCTTAACGACATGCTACGGATCTTACTAAACCAAAGTCAGCAACTTTAACAGAACAATCACTGTCCAACAGAATATTTGAAGGTTTCAAATCTCTATGTAATAATTCTGCTGAGTGCATGTATTTGATGCTCTTCAGTATTTGATATATAATGTATTATTTGTGGACTTCTTCCAATATACCTGCTCTAATTACACCATGCAAATCTGTTTCCATGTGTTCAAAAACTAAATATATATCTTTGTGATTTTCTGCTCTATGAACATTATATAGTTTAACAATATTTTGATGGTCCAATTCATAAAGGAACATAATCTCCCTAAATGTTCGTTGAGCATCTGTCGCATTTTAAAATGCATCGAATATTTTTTTCAATGCAACATAAGTATTCTTACATTTTTTATCAATAGCTTTCCAAACCTTAACTTATACAATATTGTTATTACAACTCCATATGCTCCCTTTCCTATCTTACTAACTATCTCATATCTTTTTAAGATGTGCGGTTCGATTTCGTCTGACATTATATAATAATTAATAATATATTCATAATTATACCAGTTATTCATAATTAAATCAAAATTCTTTCTCTAAACTGTTCATTTCTCAAATTCTAAATTCATAATTTCCCTGAAGTTCTTCTTAATTCAGAGTTCTTTTCATTTTTTTAATTATCTTAAGCCTAAATTATCATCTCATACTTAATCTCATAATCTATTCATCCATATTATTTTTATTAAAATCTTTTTAGTATAATTCATTAAGTATTTAATATATAATATTTATCCAAATAAACAATTTTTATGATCCATAGTAATTTATTAACATCAAGTTGCTAGTCTGTAATATACAATAATTTCATATAAAAATGAGCATCAATCAAAAATTGACCAACTGAACTTGACTCTTATGTAATACGTCATTTGTCTAACATTTTTAAACAGTTCAAATTATTTATCAATATAATATTAATTATTAATCTAAGTAAAAATGGGATGTACGAGTTCTAATTAAACGACTGATCAAGTTATTTGCTAAGTTTCCAATCCCCAATTCAGGGAAGGCGCTAAACTCAACATAGGTGTCAACTATGATACAAAGAATTCAGACACAAGGATGTATTCGATTACAAAAAATCCAATTGTGCAAAGAAGAATTCTCAAATCAATCAAACCCAAAGTTTCGATTACAAAGCAATATTCAGATGAAACATATGGATCGTTTTATTGAAAATCTCTATTCGGCTAATCACTAAGATTGAATATATATACATATATCATTAACTAAATGCTTTACTTGATGAAAATCAATATTTTTTCTTCCACTTCTCAATTTGGCTTTTCCTATTTTTCAATCCTAAAATTTAGCCAAGAATACAAGCAATATAAATAAAAAGCTATTCAGATTGATAAAACCCTTACTTACTTTATAATTCAATTACTTAATATTTAACCTTCTGATGACAAGCATGTAATTGAATTTCTCTGTCTCTTTCGAATTTATTCGCAAAGGATGGGTCATTATACAAAAAAGATTTTTATAATCGCTGAAATATTTGACCAATTTAAATGGAAGAAAAACTCAGTTTTTCACATTTGAAGGTATACATTTTAGAGGTAAATTTATAAAAAAATAAGTACTTGAATTACGAATCATGAATCATAGATAGCAATTTGTATTTACTTGAAAAAGAAACAATCCTTTAATAAACAATATTATTTAGAAACATATAAATGTATTTATGATGATATTCTGCAATAATTGAAAACAATCATTCTATAAAAGTTTTTAGCAACTATTGAAGAATGTTAAGAATTATTTTTTTTCATTAACACACATATATATATATTTATAATTTTAGTTATTAATTATATATATAAGATAATTAATGAATAATTATAATCAAGGGTCTTTATAATTAAATATAATTTATATATGAAGATACACTCCATTTAGGATTTGGACATGTTGAAAATAAAGATCCTTAATTTATTCTTTCGAAAGTGAATTAAGGTATTATACTTTAACATTAAGAATTGATTTAGACATCAATTACCTTAAATGTCTAATGCCAAGAATTTATAGTTATGTTTTAAATATTCTCATTATTTCCTATAACCCTTTGGTTCACTCATAATAAAAATGGGAGTAGGGAATAACATGATAATGTATTGGAAGTGGTTTGATTCAAGAGTGAGCAGGATTGAATATTAAATAAATTAGTTTAATTCATTAATATTAACAATTTTTTATTGTGATAAATATAATTATATCATCATGGGGAATATTTGCAAGCCATAGGTTTAGTTAATAGAGGAAAATGAGGTGGATTTGAATAAAAAAGCTGAAATTGAAGAACAAAGAAAAAAAGCAAATGGCAAATAAGAAAATAATAATGACTTAAAATAAGAATCTATAACGGACGATCAAAAACAATAACAAGATAATTACGATGGATAAAAGTTGAGAAGTGAAAATAATTAGGAAGTATCAAATAAAATTAGATCTTTAGCTAAAAAGAAGAGAAAACAAAAAGATGGCATAAATAGCAGCTGTTATTGATTAGGAAGTAATTTATGAAAATATCTAAAAACAAAACAAAGTGAAAAGCCCTTTCGATTACTAACTACTATTGAACGCATTTTCTAATAGTTTCATATTTGCTCAGTTGTAAGGCGACGACAAGTATCAAAAATTGAATATTATTTTGAGTAAAGGTTATTGATAAAATGTTCTATTGCACAGTGAAAGATTAGGAGATGGTATTTAAATAAGGAGATAAGGGAAGTTCATATTTTTTGATTGAAAGAGGTTAATGCTAAATAATAATAAATAATGATGTAAAGAAAACCTTAAAATCTGGAGAAGCATTTGGTGAATTGGCGTTATTGTACAACGCTCCAAGATCTGCATCGGTGAAAGCTATAGGAGGTACTGAATTTAGTAATTTTTAGATTGTGCCTTTTGGGCCATAGATAGAAACACAGTGAGAAAGGTAATAGAGGAAATCTCTTTGAAGGATTATGAATAAAACAAGGAATTTATACAGAAAGTCCAATTTTTCGGTATTAACTTTAAATATTCCAATAGAGTCACTTACTGATGATTAAAGAACTGCGATTACATCTGTTCTGATAACACTAAATTTTAAGGCTGGTGAGATAATTGTGAATGAAGGAGATTAAGCAGATTCCTTTTTTATTATAAAGAAAGGAGAGATTGAGATTTCTAAAGGAGGCAAATAATTGAGAATCATGCAATAAGGAGACTCTCTGGGGGAATAAGCCTTGTAGAGTAATTCTGTTAGAGGGGCAACAGCCAAAGCACATAAGGATGTCATTCTATTGGCATTGTCAAGAGATGATTTGACAAGAATTTTGGGAGATAAAATATAGACTATTATGTTCTTGAATTTATAAAGATGGGCATTTGAACGCCATCCTATATTGAAATAACTTACTAAACTATAAGTAGAAAGGATAGTAAGCACTATGGAATAAAAATAATATAAGGAAGGAGAAGTGATTATAGAGAAAGGTTAATAATGTACTCATTTGATCGTTGTTCTAATGGCCAGTTTATAGTATGGATAACAATCTATAGAAAAAGGGTAAATGTTTGGTGACAAGTTTTTGGAATAACAAAACTAAATCTTAAATGATTCTTTGATAATGAAATCAGATGGATTGATAAGTCAAATATAAATTAAAGTCTTTTTTGAAATTATTGGTGGTACTTTAGAATAAATCTTTTTAAAAAACGAGAAGGCGCATGATAGATTTATTAAAAAGGAAGAGGGATAAAAAAAGGATCAGTATGATCATTTTAAATTAGAAGAATTAATCTCAATAAAGAAACTAGGACAAGGATAATTTGGTAATGTCTATCTGGTTCATAATAAATCTGATAAGAAAAATTATGCACTCAAATGCATATCTAAGGCTCAGATAATAGAGTAAAATTTGGAAAAGCATTTGGCCTAGGAGAAATCAACATTGCAGACAGCCAACTTTCCACTCATTATGCATTTCGTTAAGAGCTTTTAGGACAAAAACTACATCTATTTTTTAGAAGAATATATTAAAGGAATGGAGCTGTTTGATGTAATCAGAGAAATTGGACTCTTAAATACTTATGATTCTCAATTTTACATAGGATCTTTGATCTTATGTATGGAATATCTTCATCTCAATAACATTATTTATAGAGATATTAAACCAGAAAATATTATGGTTGATGATAAAGTAAATTAGTATATTTATTTTAAGGGATTTATGAAGTTGATTGATTTAGGAACTGCTAAAAATCTTAAAAATAAGAATGGTAGAACATATACTATTATTGGAACTCCTCATTATATGGCTCCAGAAATATTGTCTGGAAAAGGATACACATATTCCGTTGATTTATGGTCTATAGGGATATGCTTGTATGAGTTTATGTGTGGTAATGTACCCTATGCAGAAGATGCAGAAGATCCGTAAGACTTGATTTAAACTATTTAGATACGATATTTATGAGGAAATCCAAAAAAAAGCCTTGAACTTCCCTTCTGTCCTCAAAGATCGCAAGGCTAAGAAGTTAATCGAATAACTCTTAAGCAAAACTCCTGAATTAAGATTAGGATCATCATATGCAAGCTTAAAAAACAATTAATTTTTTGAACACTTTGATTATGATTCATTAATGAACAGAGATTTAAAGCCTCCATATCTCCCACCTAAAAGTAAACTTTAGAGTGACAAAGAAATCTAAAAAGCCATCTAGGCTGGCAAACTCATTACTGAAGAAATTAAAGTATCTATTATCTCTATATTTTATAGACTGATCCTACAACAACCAATAACATTTATAAACCAGAAAAAGCAAGAGATCCTAATTGGGATAAAGATTATTGAACAAAAATTTATTTCTTATGCTATGACCACACATTTTATCAATTAATCAATGTCTCATATCAAATTACATTAGATTCATCTAATTCAAAATTCCAAAATAGAGTTTTTTATCTTTGCAACTGATTAAACCTTTGTAGAAATGCAGTTAGAGTTTTTCATCAACCATTTTCTAATCAAATTGGAATCTCTGTTTATCTTTATCATTCTCCTTCAGTATTTGAGTTTTAATCAATTAATCTGTTAATAATTCCAAAAGTATAGTATTTGAATCCTAATAGTTCAGTAGAGCAAGGTCACAAATCTATTTTATAAAGAATTATCATACTTATTTTTCATCAAGTGGGCAATTTTTCAATTTTAATAGATTGAAAACTCTAGAATGTTTTTGAGAATGCTTGTCTTCAATCCATTTGATTTCTAAATTTTCCTTTAATTCTTTCTATTTTTATTTATATAAATTTTGATCCTAGAAACTGGAAATTCCATAGATTTATTTTAATTATTGCATAATAGTCTAATTTAAATGAAAAAATATACATTATTTTTAACAATATCCATTAATCCTGTCCAATTTATTTATAAAAGTGAATTCTAAGTAAGAGATTGTTACTTTTAAGATGAAATTTCTAATTTTTTCTTTGCTTTTTAAGTTTTCTTATCAGATTTATTTTTTGTATCCTTATAAATAACTTCTTAAATTTCTTCTTATTAATCTACTTAAACAATTTAAAGTAAACTTTTATCAAATAATTCATTCACCAAAGTTTCTAAATCACTTTCATTTATGCTTTCAGAAACGAGATTCTTTATTCCAAATACTCCATTTTTAATTGCATAATCAAAAATAGCATTGTATTTTTTTTCGCTATTTAATAATTCTGGTACATATTCTCTCCCCAGCAATGCTATATGATTAACAAATATTAATCCTTTTTTTTTTTATTTATTTTTTGTTTAATTAGACTCATTCTGCTATTTTTCATCTTTATTTCCTTAAAATAATTGTTTTATCTCAACGGTATTATCCAATTGCTTTTTGATTTTATAACCAATTATTTAATGCTTAATTCCAAGGGTGATAACAATCTCCAAAAATTTTAAGTCATCAAATTGTGCATATTTCAAGATATCTTAATATTGAAGAGGCCCATATAAATCAAGTACTTCTATCACCATTCCCATGGCTTTTCCAAAATGCTATTCTGCTAGTTAAGAATAATATAAAGTGCGATATGAATGCATCTACTAATTAATTTAATTAGTATGATAAAAATTACAAGTCCACTGTTAAATCACAGATTCAAAATGGTAAGAGTTTAATGCAAACCTTATGATAATGCTGAATTAATTAGAGCTCAAATAATGGATAATATGAACGAATATCTCTAAGAAAATGATGGGTACGAGTGCTTTTTTATGAAAGCAAACTTATCAACGTGAGAGTTATTTCAAATAGTTACATTGCTGTATACTTTGTAACAGGAATAGAAATGGATGATACTAATTGGGAATAATAAATTAGTAGAGGGCCATTATAAAAATTTACTATTTTATCAAATTCCATAGAAATTAGACCTTCGCGATTTTGAATTAATATAATCATTTTAGAATTTCTATATTTATTTTAATTTTACACAATGGGAAATAACTAGTCATAGCGTAAAAATCATACAAATTTCAAAACCAAGACTAAGGAACAATTTAAGAAATTATTTTTAATAAAGAAGGATTGGTATAAATTAAATTCATTTCATTATAGTCTCTTTTCAAAGTTATCTTAAAAAACTTCATCACTTATTACATGCTTCTTAAATATTTAAGAGTTAGAAAATCTACTTTAGGTGTCAAAAACTACTTATTAAATCTTCAGTCAAACATCTGGTTGTTTTCAAATAGTATGTTAAAGACTTCTGAATGTTAAATGTGAGATAATTTAATCCTAAAATTGGAAACTTATATTATAAAGTATATTGTGTATTCCAATAAGATCATTACCTTATGGAGAAGCAATAAAAAGTGTAAGATATGAAACTAAATAATTCCCAGTATTTATAGAACATAAAATTAATTATAGTGGGTTTCAGAAGGCCATTCCATATTATGAATATAAATTTGGGGAAAAAAAATAACTTATTAAGAATTCTGATTACATAACAGCATTGCAGTTTGCAACAAATAACACCGATATATTATTAAGAGTGAGGTAAGGGTTTGAAATCCATACATAATTGCCAGAACTACTAATGTTAAATTATAATCTACATGATTATGTAAAAATATATTGTAAATATCTGGAAATAAGGTTTTCTAAATGTAATTTAGAATAATTTATATAAATTTGGCACCATTATTAAGGATGGATAAGTTCTGTAGAAAATTAAACATCAAACTTGATATTCTTGTTTAATTAAATCATCGATGAAAGTTTGCCTTAATACAAGCTACCAAAGTATACTGTTCGACACTTTATGGTATGCGAATGGATGATTAAAGCTAATAAAGCAGAAATCATTGAAAAATTTAGAAAAGAATTTAGTTTGTTGATGATAGAATGTAGAAATAAAAAAAATAAATCTTTATTGTTAAGATAATATGTTTAATATCTAATTGATATTAGCACTAATCAAAATAATATTCATAAATATGGCTATTATAATTTCTAATATTGTGAAGAACTCAATTAATTAATTAATTTAGCAGTAAATTTAATTCCTAATTTAAATATAGAGTATTCATAAGATGAGGAAATATTAATTTATATATTTGGATAGTATGTATACGAATATTATATATTTGAATAATCATCTGCTTTTAGAGTTGAATAATTCAAATATGAGATTAAGCAGTTTCATTAAGAATGCTAATAAATGTCTAAAATATTAGTGAAGAATTTTGAAGAATAAAATAATAGTATCTTTGGGAATGAAATTTAAAACTTTAGATACTAGTTATCCTTACAATAAAATGTTTAAATAAAAATTAGATCTTTATTTAAATAAGTAGCCTTAATCGATGAGGACATATAAAATTCTTCAGAAAACATAGTAGCTGAAAGCTTAGGAACATCTGGAGTATCATTAACATCTACAAATTGTAGTTCAGTATTTTCAAGCGTAAAAAATAATGATTAATTATATCATTATATAAAATTTTATTAAAAAGATTTATTTAATAAAATTTAAAGATTTTACTGCAAGGAATGGGATGTCTATTAGTATTCATTAGAATAGGAACCAGTAAATGATAATATTTATGATATTCCTGAATTAGCTGAATATGATTATATCTCACACTAGAATTTGATGGAATTATTTTTCAACAGAATTCAAAGGTCAAATGCTATTTGTTAATTAGAAAGAAGATAAACGATTTTGGCATCCAATTACTAGTTCAATCACTAGTAACTCTAAACGCAATCGCTTAATCAATCAGAATCACTTTTAAAATGCCTTTTAACATGAAAATTTCATTTTTGTTTATTGTTTTTTTGTTATATTAACATATTTTATAGTAAAAAAGAAATCAACTAGGTTTAATAATCTGATTAAACAAAATATTTTGATGTCGCTCGAATTTAACAGATTTATGATTTATTTTTAATTTTAATATTCTATTAAAATAATATTCATTAATAAGGTATTAAATATAAAATCAAAAATAAATAACATAGATAACTATGATTAATAATATCATACTATTTTACCAAGAGCATTTTTCATATTTTTGAAGTTCATTAAAACTTAATTTAATTTTGTTTCAACTTGATCTTTCTCTATTTTAATTTACTTTACAGCTTAAAATAAGGTTTAGGTCTTTGTTTCTTTTTCTTTAACCAAGTCTTCTAACTCTTTTTCTTTTTTCTACAATGATGTAATTTATGATTTTTGATCAAAGTTTAGTTTATTTAAAGTAAATATCTATTCTTCTGCCTTAATGATTCTTTCTTCGAATCTCTTTGCTCTATCTTAGATGTAATATTTCATTTCTTTTTGAGAATCCAATTCAACTTTCTAATCATCTATTTAAGATTTTAATTAATAAATTTATTTGTGTTACAATAGTAAAAGTTTTGAGAAATAATTACAAGTTTATAACAATTATTAGGATTCTAAATGTAGATAATGCCCATGAGCTACGAATTTAGAAAAAGTCATTTATAAGACTTGCATGAAGTCTTACATAGTAAATTTGGGTTGATAGGTAGGTGTTGGTATGCATTTTCTACCAGTTTAGAATAATTGTTGGTTGATTTATAAGCTCTTTTTAACTAGATCGACCATTTCTCTTCTTGTTTGTATTATTTAAGCTTTAAGGAATGGAACTTACAAGGATTCTAGGATCAATGAATCAATATCCTAATATTCTTATTGAAGTTAGATGGACAGATCACTTAACGATTTAGCTTATTTATTTTATGAAGGTTAGGAGGGACTGGAGGCGTTAATATTTTTATTAGAACTTTAGCCATGATTACCTGCATATGATTTAATTTTGGTGAAAATACTGGAGGCTGTTGATGCGACATTGTATTATGTTGAGTTCTGTTATTTTTACTATTATTATTCATCAGTTTCTCCTAATCCTAGCAAGTCTTCATTCTAATAAAGGGAGTCACTTTAGATTTGTTGTTGTTATTGCTATAACTATTATTATTGATTTTGGAACTTGCCCTCAATTAATTCATATGCATCATTAAATATTTCATTCATGTATTGCCCAATGTTGAATTTGAAAACTAAGAACTTCGCAATTCCAATTTATATGATCTCTTCTGGGATTTAATAAACCATATCATTAAAATAACTAAATATATGAGGAAACATTACTTAAATTCTGTTTTTAAGAACTTAATTTCTTTGTTCAACACTTAGGTTCTGTAATTGACAATATAATTTAATAGGGATCGATTATTTTAGATGATGAAGTACATTTACTTGCTTGTCAACATTAAATCGAATATGTCTTTAGGTTCAAGAAATGATAAGATGGTGGATTTGTATTTATTGGTCAATAGGGTGTAGATATTGCTTTCTTGGTATTAGTACTTTAATATTTTATAGGCTCCTTGGATAAATAGGGCTCCTGCTCTAATTTCCTTCATTTGTTCTAATTCGGATGATGCAATAAGGTTGTTCTTTTCTGCCAAAATGAGTTTCATTTCTAATTCATTAACTCTTTATTAGTAGTTATTGTTGGCTTTTAGTAGTAGATCGTTTAAAGCGAGATATTTCGTATTGATTTCTTCTAATTCTTTATTTCTAAGTTTTAATTGTTCGCATTCTTTCACTAAATCAAATTGGCGTTGCTCATAATTGTTTTTGATCTATGAATAGGGTGTGATCATTTACTTCTTCCATTTATTGCATGTAAGTGTCTTCGATATTTTTTATAATTTATTCTTTTGATAGAATAGCTTTGATCTAATTCTGTAATTGTGATTTGAGACTATCGATTTCATTTTATTGAGTCTGATAATCGTTGATGATTTCTCTCAAAGACTTAACTTCATCCTTGGCTGATTGTATTTTTTCGATTCTCTCTTTATCTATGCTATTATGGAATAAGAATTTGTTGAATACACTTGTTTGATGTGTTTGTTATATAATTTGTCGACGTCTTTTTGGAGAGAAGAATCCATGAAAATCATAAACTTGTATTAGGATGGTTGCAGTATGATCATGGGTTATGCAGACTCATCTTGTTTAATTTGCTATTTCATTGTATTATATATATATATTTTAATTTAATTAACGAATGAAGTATTTCCAAAATGGATTGAATCAAATTTGCCAATAAATAATTCGACCAGCAAGAGCAGAATACACAATATATGATTTATGTAATCTCAGCATAATTATTATGAACAGCTTCTTATTAGATTTAGGAAGATAGTCAATACACAAGAGAGGATTTTGATATCATTAATCCTCGACAAGAAGTGATCAAAGTTAGTTAATACATAGGCTAATAAAAGAGCGATGTCTGCATTATCTACTTGCATACTGCCAATGGTTCTAGAATGGAAGTGAGCAAATATGTATCGATGATAATTAAAAATGGGTTTGCATTGATTTCATTCGATTTTACTGGGTCTGGAATGTCAGACGGAGAGATCGTGACTTATGGACATAGAGAGGTAGGAGATTTGCAAACTGTCATAAACCATTTCAAATCATCATATAAATAAATCATACTCTGGGGAAGATCGATGGGTTCTGCTGTTGCTCTCCAATATATGCAAAAGTTCAATAACATACTCATCAAAGGAATGATCTTGGATAGTCCATTTGTTTGCTTACTAGATGTAAATAAGTGCTTAAATTGAATTAGGTGATTTTGTAAATGGCATCAAGTAAAACTAAAATCCCTAATTTCATTTTGAAGAGTCTATCCACTTTTGTATCAAATGAACTCAAAAAATAAGCTGGATTTGATTTAGAAGAAATCAATTGTCTCAAAAAGATTTCGTCAATTAAGTGTCCTGCCATATTCGTGACTTCCAAGTTGGATACGATTGTACCGCCTGAACAAACTGAAAAACTGTTTAAGGCTTATACAGGCATCAAGCAAATCCAATACACAAATCAACAGCATAATGGCATTAGAGACCATGCTTTTATTGAAACACTTATCCAATGGTTCAAAAAGAGAACTCCGATCTTTGAGAGACTGGGAGTGGGCACTCAGATCAAATAGAGAATAATGCATAAATAAAAAAATACATTAGGAACAATTAAGTAGGTTTCATTGGATCTCTACAAGGAAAGATCTTCGATACTAGAATGTTGTACTTTTTATTGTTATTTTAGACCAAAGAAGTTTGAACACTTCAGTATCTCCCAGATAAACGATCATGAATAAATAGAAATTAACTGCAGAGGAGAAGTATAATCAAATGTTGGAAACTCAAAGATCTCTTTATTTGGATCGGTCTGTTTCTGCAAAAAGAATTTAAATTAGCAATTCCATTGATTATTAGATATCTCCTATGCCTTTAGCACCTTTAAGCAATAAAATAGTTACTTCATCATAACACAATTATTTCTCTCATTCAAAACCCATCACTTTCACCAAGATACCTCATAAGACAAAAGATTGCACTTAGGTTTGATTATATTTTTGATAAAGATTAAGTCATTAAATTAATTTAGTATTAAAAAAGGGTTAATTAAATCCGAAGTTTCTTACTATTCTAATTAGCATAGGGATAACTCAAATTTAGATGTGTCGCATTTAAAGTTTGAATCTAAAATACCAATTAAATTAAAATATATAAATTAAAATGGGACAGGAATGTCAGAAATGCAAGGCCTTCTCAGTTAAGGAAGAGTTTGACATGAAGAACATGGATGAGGATTTGGGAGATGAGAGTCCTGATGTGGAGTAATCATTTTTAGATGAGGAGGATGAAGCTAAAAAACATAGTATTATTATAAATGAAATGATAGATAGGCCACCGTGTTTGGATTATTATAAGAGGGGGAAAATGCTGGGGAAGGAGGAATACTATGATTAAAATGATCCCAAACTGGCTGCTACGATAGAGAACAAAGAAATGGCTTTAACTGAAGAACAAAGGGGAGAAGAGATTATCTTGGAGGACGGGTCGAGATATCAGGGGAATGTGGTTGATGGGAAGGCAAATGGCAAAGGAAAGTTATGGTTAAATAATGGTGATATTTATGAAGGAGACATAATCGACAATGTCATCTAGGGAAATGGGGTCTATTATTATATAAGAGGCCCAATTTACAGTGGATAATTTGTCAATGGGAAATCTGATGGGATGGGCAAGGAGATGTGGCCAGATGGATCAATTTATGAGGGATAGTTTAGGAATGGCAAAAAGCAAGGTTAAGGAGTATATAAGTGGAGTTAAGGATGCATGTATGAGGGAGAGTGGTTGGAGAATATGATCCACGGTTATGGGAGATACGAATGGTCAGATGGTAGGGTAATTTTATAAATGTATATATAGTGTTATTAGGGGAATTGGAATAGGAATCAGATGCATGGGAGAGGCAAGTATTCGTGGACCGATGGAAAATACTACGATGGGGAGTATGAATATGATAAGAAGTGTGGGTTTGGTTTTTTCGTATGGGCTGATGGCAAACAGTATTAGGGCTATTGGTTCGATGGTAAATAACATGGCAAAGGAGTGATGATCAATAAGGATGGGAAGAAGAAATTCGGAGAATGGGTCAATGGAAAGTTGATTAGTTGTAGTGATGAAACCAATGTGCAGATTATCCCTGAGGGTTGGAATAATAAGGCTTGACTTCTTTTGTTTATGTTCTGCAACTACTTAGTTTGATAGGGTTAATCTATCTCGACTGTATTATTTATATCATGAATTGAATGGAATATTTTGCTGGGTTTTTGGGGGAGCTTAAATATTATTATTAATAATAATTATTATTGTCAATAAATGGCTAATCCTCATATCCCAGTTGAATTTAATAAAGATGATGATGAATTGAAATGTCACCCTTCCTAAAGTGGTTCCACAGCCACTCCTACACTCTTTGAGAATCCAAACAATTCTAAAGCTTTCTGTTCACAGTTTTTTGAAGATCAATTACACTAAGATGGTACTCTCCCTATTCATTATTTAAGATGATGAATTTGACGAACTAAATCAGTAATTAAACTAAGTCTTGCTAAATGATTCCTTTAAACCTTCACTTACCTAAGCTTTTACAGCTGACATGTAAATTCAATTTTTAAAATGATTAGGTCATCATATCTTAGTCATGAGAAGTTGACAAAAAACTCTAGAAAGATGCAATAAGAATATTAGAATGCCACTTTGAGGGAGAAAGATTTTGTATTCAACACTTATATTAAAAATGATATTGAGAATTTTAGTTTGGATAAATACAGACATTACATACTTGAAAAAATCATTGAAGTTGGTATTTTTGGATTACTTATGGTTTAGGTCCACCCTCCCATAGAAATCTCATTCTAAATAGAATTTATAATTAAATACATAAACTCATCAAAGATCTCTATGCTTGTAAGGTTATGCAAAAGGGTTTGGAAGTCATGGTATTAAATCCACAAGATTCTATGGAATAATTGGAGAACTATCTTTCATTCATACATCAAGACAATATCTAAATGAAGAAAATCTATGTCGATAAGATTGCTAATCAGATTATTCAAAAGAGTCTGGAAATCCTAGAAGGAAATAATCTATTGAAATTACTTTAGAATCTATCTAAATATGTATGAATATTCAATGACATTCCTAGATTCTCAGTAACAACAATGAAAAGTTCGAATTATCAACTGATCAATATGGATGTCTCATTGTCAATAAGATCATTGACATCTATCCAAAATAGTTCGATGCATAGACTAAGTCGATCTGCAATAACATTATAGTTAGGGCTATCGAAAATTGTTCTTGTCTCACTAGGAGATAGTACGCCAACTATATTATCTAACAAATATTGGAGAAAGGACAGGAAGTCCATAAAAGATTGTTAATTGATCAATATCTTATTAAAGACTTTATTTCAATGTCTTTGGATAAGTATGGTAGCAATGTAGCAGAAAAGGCTATCATTTATGCAGGTCCATAGTGGAGATTGAAATTATGGGAAGAAGAAGTCTCTATTTCTGAAAGGTAGATATAAGTATAATATATCATTTCTAGTTCCTTTAAGAAATTGGTAAATGATCAATTTGCTAATTATCCAATATAAAGACTATTCGAGTACTTGGATCAACAACAAAGAAACGAGTTCATTGCTCTATTGAATAAGTTACATGGCAACAATCAGTTGAATAATCATGGTTAAATAGTTATGAAATTCGCTTAAGCCAATTATTCTATCAAAAGATACACTCAAAAGATTGTATAGTCGGAACTAAGCAAAAATAACAAGAATTAGGATAATAAAGGATAGAAGAATCAAAAGCAATCATAAAATCAATAGAGTCCCCCTTTGCAGATGCAACAATAATAGCAATCCTTATATCAATAGTAGATGTAATAGATGTTCTTACAACAACAATCACAATTCAAACAGTTTGATCAATAATAATATTAAGCTGCTGTTATGCAATAAATGCTTATCTTTTAATAGCAATAATAACAATTATTAACTTAAATGCCATAATTGTACAATTAGGACATGAATTATATGCCTTATCCAATTATGACATAAGAGTAATAGATGATGATGCTACGATGGATTCAACAGTAACAGCAACTTTGCAACGCAAATATTAAATTCCAAAATGGATAATAAAAATGACAATCAAGTTAATGATAAATATATATATTATATTTATATATATATAATTATAATTTATTCCTGAAATGGAAGACTTGTAAAAGATAATATAAAAATCTGGAACCAACTTATCACTTCTTGATCTAGAATTCAAGTAAAATAATAGTACTATATCAGACAAATCGAAAATTTGAAGGACGTGCTTCCATTGCTCGTCTAATTTAAGAATCTCAAAGAAGTAAGCAATCCATATAATTACAGTTAAATTTGCATGGGAATAGATTAAGACAATTGCCAGATGATTTGTCTCAATTAAAGAATCTTGAAATATTAGATATCACCAATAATATGTTTGAAAATGTATTCTTTTGTTTTTAATTTAGTTACAATAAGTAGTTCATTCATTAAAAACTTTACCCTCATTAAATCATTTGGAAATAGCATTGAAATCTAAGGAGGAAGAAGAATTTATCATTGAAAATCTGCCTTAATTAGTGATGTTAAATCAATAAGCCATTAAAATAGAGGACCAATCTGAATAACAGAGTGATATGCAATCAGAGAGATCAGGAACAGGATTGGAAATAACATTACAATAAGAGGATCTGGAATAGATGGCTGTACTTAATATCTTAATCACATTAGATCCTTCATGACAGTATCAAAGAGTTGAGAAAGGAAGATGAAGAATCAGAAAAATAGATTTCGTCAGTTTTCGAGAATTCCGTAAAGACTATAATGAAGGAATTACAGACCAAGCTAGCCCAAAAATCACCTGAACATATAACAAATTTAACAATTCTAAAAGTTTTACATTTATTTAAAATAGGCAAAATTTAATTTAACTGAAGTTTGCTTTTAATTGTTTATAAGATACTTTAAATTGACAGATAAAAAACTAGAATAGATTCTAACCAAATTACATGATCAACATCAATAGATATTTACAGATATGTCTAACGTAATTATGAATGTCAGAGACAATCAATCAATTTAATCAATACAAAAGAAATTACTAGAAACTAATTCAGGCTAATCGAATTAAGACAAGGGAACAGAATAAAGACTTAGATAAGAACTCTAAGAGTTGCAATAATACACAAGGGAAATTGAATAAGAAAATAAGACTTACTTAGACTTACTAATTAAATTTGGAAAGGGGGAAAAGATTCAACTAAACTCTGTTCTGAATAATTTGTAAAAGACTGAAGTTTAAAACATGGATAATTCATCTCAACTTATACAATAGAATAATAATGACAAGGCCATAGCTCTAAATTTGATTAGACCACAATAGACCTAATATGCGTCTATTCAAAGTAAGAATAATTAATTATAATCTAATGTCTTGGTTTAAGCACCTTAATTGGTTAAGATGTTGACTCTGAAACAATTCAAAGATTTAATAGTAGAAATATATGAGAGTAAATTGAAATTTGATTAAAAATGCTCTGATTCTCATTTACCAAGGGAAACTATGGAGCAGCATATGTACACATTTTTGAATTAGAAATATGGATTGAAGAGTTTAATACTGGAGTGGGCCTCTTGCATCATTAATGCACTCAAAAGATATGGAAATGATGATAATGATGTGGCAGTGTTTGGTAAGATTTTGAGGAATGAATGTGATGAGGAGTTTAGATTCGTATAGGGGTAGGTGAAGAATACAATTTTAGAGTTGTTGAAGGTAAGACTTTAAATCAATAATGGTAGATGTATTTGAGAGGGAAATTCCCATTAAAGACAAATGCTGATATCAAAGAAATGATGAATTAACGAGTTAATAGTTTCATATTCTAGGAAGAAGCTGAAGACATTATCAAGTATATGTATAATCAAGAGGATTCAGAGATAATCCTTAACAAATTGAAATAGTATTTTATATAGCCTGCAAAACATGTAGAGAAACGAATGACAAGGGAGGAGTAATTTTAAATAGTGAATGAGAAAGATAAATCTAAGATTGAATTTTCAATATTTTAGAAGGTTATTTTGGATTTTCAAATGAAATCACATGAAAAGTACTTGTCAAAATTTATTTTGCATTTCAAACAACAAGATTAGGATTAAAATGGAATTATTGATGAGGTATTAATTATTTCTATGTAGAATGAATTTCGATAATTGATTGCAGATTTGAATATGGGAACCAATGATTTTGATATCTAGAGATACTTGAATAAGATAGATCCTTACAATAATCAGTAAATAACATTTTCATAATGTGTTCAATTGTTTTCTCAGGAATAGGCACCAGGAACGAATGTACCAATAATCTAGAAAATTTCAGTTGACAGTTTTTGAGTTATTTTTTAATATAATAAAATCATAACATTTAGTGCTGACTCTCCTTTATTGTAATCATTGAAGAACCTCAAGAAATCTCAATTAAAATACAGTTTAACATATTTATATATTATTATGATTATTAACAATACAAATATACTAATATTAGCATACTAATTTTTGCGCTTGTTATTGTTAATTTTTAAATTTAAATGACACAAGACATATCAAAAGAAGTGCTAGCTCTTTCCATCCATGTTGCTGCAGCTGCTTCTTTAATCACTATCTAAACTCAATAGAGGATGATCTTAGTTACAAATAGTGTTTTAGAGAGTGTAGACTAAACTTTCAAGATTATCAATTCGATTATGATGTAATCATAAAAATAGTCTCATTTGGACGCAGTTATAGAGGAATTCGACGATGATTGTGGAAAAGATTCAAAAACAAAAGAGTGTTATATCGATTAATAACTCAATGTTACTAACGACGAACAATTAGATTAAATTAGAATTGAAAATTAGATGTGTTAAGAAAATTGTAATCCCAACTTGTCAATCAAGTCAACCAATTCTAGTTACTAAAGTGTTTAAAAATCAAAAACCATATACTAAATATTAGAGGAGAATCAACCTAACAAAAATCTCAAAGATGATACTCCAATCTAACCTTAGAAACAATCTCTTCTTTCTTATTAGTTATCCTAAATCAAAGTAGACAAGGTCAAAGAAGCCCAGGAATAAAAAGAACTCATGATCTTGATCGACCAAGTTGATCCCGAAGAATTAATTACAAAATTGAAATCCTTAGAGATGATTTCTACTTACCCTTAAGAAAATCAAAATCAATTGGAGTCAGTTATAAACATAAGTGAACCACTAATTGTTTTAAATGTTGAAGAGTGTTAAAGATAAAATAAAACATCTCCAAAAAAATCAGAATGGTATGATAGTTCTTCAGTTGAATACAAAGCTACATCATATAATACAAATGAGTCTTCTAATTTGGACCATCATTCTTATAAATGGAAAAGCAGTAGTATTGAGGATGAAAATTTATTGCAAGATTGTGAATTTTAATTTTAATCCTCAGTATTTGATTTTCCATTTCCAGAAGACTTCTGTACTAATAGTATAAATGTGTAATAGAATTTTCAACAATTAGAAAATTAAAACTAATTTACGCCTAAGAAGAAGAGACTCTACTGCAATAATAAGAAGGTTCCTCATTGGGCTGAAAACTTATAGGTATAATTTTAGTGAATATTTTTAGAAAGTTTAACAATATTAATCCTAATAATATCTATTACCTCATCATTAAATCTTTGGTAAGATGAAGAACAGAGTGTTAGAGATTGCCAAGTAGTTTTCAGAGAGCAGATACTAAAGAAGGGGAAGTTCAGCCTAATGGCACATTCCTAATAAGACTTTTGAGATGATGCAATAATAGATGAAAAAACTATAGCAAATATAAGATGAAAATATATAAAAACTGTAGCAACATCAAATAGATGTAATTATATGGAAATTATTATAGTCTGCTTAAAAAAATTAAGGCTTATTGGCCAAAACATAATATTTTTTAACTAGTATCAAAAAAAAGATCCTCAATTCATTTGAGAAAGATTCAAAATATAAAAAATGAATTAATTAAAATTTATTATTTGTTGAATCATATCCAATACTTGTCTACTTTCCAAAGAATTATTTTTCATTAAATTTTGAATATAAATAATAAAAATTATATATGTTCAATTTTAAACCAAAGTTAGAGAAATATTATTAATTTTAGATATTATAATTCTCAGGAAAAGAAAAAATTTGAACAACTATTTGAAGCTTACTTTGACCCAGCGAACTAATATAAAACATCAAGCTATTTATCAATATTAAAGAAGTATTACTAAGTCATTATATATTTAAGAAATAAATAAATTAGATTTCTTACAAAGGCCTTTATATTTACTTTTCCTTTGGTATTTGGATTGTATTTGTTACCAGGTAATTAATTTATGATACAAATTCAAATTAAAAAGGTTGTAAGAAGATCGATTGTCGAATTTTACAAATTTATTTATGATTATTCTGATTTATCATAGTAAGTATTAAATTATAAAAGTTTTAAGCAAATCAACATGTTCGCAACAATATATATTGGCTTTGAATTAATAATATATGTATTTTGAGGAATAAGAAATAAAAAATGAAGGGTTGTTCGAGAATATAATTAAATAATACATATTTATATTGAATGGTATAAAATATGATTAATGTAATAAGATAATCAAGATTAATTGGAGTTTGTATTACTACATTTGGATGAGCTTTTATTAAAGGTGTTGGAGAGAAACCGATATCATTATTTTATTGAGAATTCCACTATTTTGATAGATCTATTAGATATCATAACTAGAAGATTACCAGATTTAGATGTCTCCCAATTATAATATAAATATTAATTTGAACTGCAAAAGCTATAGTCAATAACGACTTTACTTTGCGCCTTGTTTCAATACTGTTTAAAGTAGGATGAAAGAATAGAAGTATATTAATATGGAGTGGGCATCTTAAAGAAGAATGTTGTGATGGCAAAGCTGTTGTAGTAGCAATTCAATTTGTTGTTACCAATAATCTATAAGGATTTAGCAAGTCAGGGAGATTAGATAAATTTAAGCACAATTTAGTTTTTGATTGAATTTTAAAATAGTTTAAGTATAAAATGGTTTAATATAAAGAGAGCAGCAATTTGTTTGATTAGCTATTGAAGGATCAGTTATTTTCAAACTTAATAAGTGTGTTGGATAGAAAATCTCCATAGTTTAGAGAGGAGTTCTTGAAATTTTTGGGGATGGTGAAGGAGAATAAGGAGGTTTGTTATTTGATGAAAGAGACGAAGATTTATGAGGAGGAGAGATAAAGATTGAAGAGTTTAAAAGTAAATAAAGAGTTATAGATGATTATAAAATAATTGATATAATGATTAATATGTCTGATATGGTTTAAACATTTTCAATTCATTCAAATAAGCATCGGAGGTTGACATAATGTAATTAACTTAGTACCTAGAAGTAGTAGAAGGGATTATTGATGAAGGGAGTCACAATTCGTAATAACATGAATCTTAAGTTATGGTTAAATGAAGTAATGAACAGGAAGGAGATTGACTTGAAATTGGGGAAATTAAATATCTATTCTCAAAGACATGACAAATAGTCGAAATATCACAATGATCTCATATTGCCTAGCATATTTCGGGATGTGGAGGACAGTCAAATGTTTCCCATGATTTGTTTTCAAAAAAGTACAGATTATTAATTTTAAAAGGAACCTGCAGATAATTGATGAGAGAAAGTAAAATTTTGATAATACTTTAGTCAGATTTGAAGAAAATGTGACATCATTGTTACCAAGTGATAAAAGGAATTCTATCTTATACGGATTACTAAAGGAATTGATTTATGAAATAGAGTTTCGAGAATAAAACATTTTGATATGCCAACATAGGATTACTAAAGTGTTTTATATATACTTCACAGATTGTTTGATCTGTCCAATATCCAAGTGTTGTTATACATCTGTGGTTTTTGTATTGGGATAGATATTTGGAGGTTAAATAAGATGCAATAATGAGAACTGTCCAATCCAGATTCTAGTAACTTTTGATATACAAGAAGAACTCTTATGGAAAAAAAACCAGGTTGATTTAAGTAATAGGTTTTCGAAATATATAATAAGTGGGAAATTTAGAACTAACAGTCTAAAAACATCGATTTAGCCTACAGATGTTTCAAAGTCCAATCAACAATACAATCTAAATATAAATAGTCAAATCAGTCAAACCGAAAGAGTTCAAAGTAAAGTAAATCTATCTCAATAAAGTAATTACGAAAAATAAAGAAGATAAAAGTAAAGTTAACATAAGAATGGGTTTCACAGTGACTATTAAAATATATGTTTAAAATGAAAATATTATTGTTTCATCTAGCGTAAACTGATAGGTTAGTTAATGCTCTGTATTAGGATTCTCGTAAACTTAAGTTTTGAAATCTCTCCCATAAACGAGTTTGCTTTTCTCCGAAAGAATCTTCTTCAAAGAAATAGGCATAGGCGGCAATCAGTTGCATGAAAGAATATATGATGACATAGGCGTACTTATTTCAATTATGATATCAAGAAATACTTTTGCAAATTATGAAATCTTGTGTCCAAAGCCCTCACAATCATATATAAAGCCCAAAATTTTCTTTGGTCATATTTCAAAAAGGACAACGAAATCATTCCACCCAATAAGCCACAATAAAATGCATAGTTAGGAGAATCCTATTCGTATTTATTTCTCAGTAAACAATGCAAACCTATTTGTAAATCAATCAGAAACCTTTCGTAATCAGAGTATATGAGGATAAGAACAAACAAAACTTAATATTATCTTTAGAGATCAATATTTTCGGGATCTATTTTAACTTATTCTTCTTGAATTTAACTAAGATTTAAAGCAGGGACAATGCAGTCCTCAAAACATAAGCATATTTAAATGTTTGTAAACCTTGAATAGAGACGTGTTCAAAGCATGAACAACTACTATAACATTCCATAATACCCATGTTGACAATGCTATGATTTGGCTAACAATGCCTATATAAATCGATCAATTCTAAAATTCATTATATAAAATTATAATCTTTTATCATCTATTATAAGTATAAAAGTAATATTTAACAAGTTAAAAAGTATATCAAGAAGAAAACGCATTCCTAATTTAATATAATTTTTAATATCTCTACAATTTGAATATTTCATAAAGTTATCCTATAAGAATATAAACTTTTCTATTGAATATTTAAAAATGGAGGAGAGAATATCTAATATAATTAAATACTATGTAAGATATCTAATTAAAAAATATTGAAACTTCCATTTTAAGTATAAGAAATACTATTAGAAATAATTTATTTCTATTTCCAAATAGATTTATATGTATTGTTGCTAAAATGATGTCTAAATAATAGTCAATAAAATCAATATTATAATTATCAAAAGTTCTAAATTATTCTATCGAGCATTTCCTCTAAGTCTTAGTTTAATCTACTAGCCAGCTATTCAACTGCATTAATAAATTGAAAGAAATCCATTTAATTATTATTGTAAGATTTCAATAGGATTTTTCGATATAGTAAATCATAGTCATGTTTCAGAAATGTTTATGATGTCATTGATGGAAAATTCGACAATTTCTAGAATTTAGAAGAAGTCAGGTATTCTTGAAATTTGTATCCAGACAAGAAACCATAAATTTGCATCATCTTCGAGATTACAGTTTCTGTCGTATCCACTTCTAATTTCCTATAACTCTCAAATCCTGGTAGTTCTTCTTAAGTTTCTTTAGGAATCATCGCCAATTTTATCGCATCTCCCATAACTAACTCTTTAACATAACTGTCGATGTAGGATTCTTCAAATACGGATTTTCCATTTGCTCCATAGACTTCATGTTCAATTTGTAAACTTGGATTAGAATTAACTTCCAATAGCCATGGCTTGCCTTTCTCATCGAGTAAAATATCGAATCCCAAGACTTAAAAGCATTTGACTTCAGCGACTCTTTTTTGAAAGACTAATTTTTGATTGAATGCAAGAAATGGATGGAGACTTTTTAGATATGCAACGACTAAACTATCAATTTGATCTTCCACATCTTAATTATTGTATCCTAAGATTTCTAAGTTTTTTTAGATTGATGAGTAAGTTCTTTTGGTTCCCTCATTGATATCCAATATATTCTTGCCATTGTAGACCTAGAAGTTGGTATTTCTTTTATTGAGAGAATAGTTGGTTAGATGCATAAAAGGATTCCTGAGATTCTTATCATTTGGTTTTTCGTAATCGACAGTGCAAAATCTAGCCAATCCTTCTTTGTTGATGTAGCATAAGTAGGGATCAAGAGATGTGATGAGCACATACAATCTTAAATCGAATTTCTTTTTATCTATCAATAGAGGTTTGGAGATATATTATTAGATAACCATACTCTCATTGGTTTTGATGTCTTTTAACTTCTTTATCAAATAAATTCCATCCCCTTGCGACCCTGCATCTGGTTTAGCTATGTAAGTTCGAGTGCTTTTATATTCCTACTAAAATTTATCAATATCATCGGGTATAATGTAAGTTTTAGGAAAGAACTCGTATTCTTCTGGAAAGTACTCTGCAAATTTATTCAGATAAAAGGAGGATTAAGTCTTATGAGCCAATAAATCCATTCCTGCAAACCGATTAACATATTAAGTGAAATATTCTTCAAGATTTTGGTATTTAAATGGTAATCCGAGCCAACACACATCGCCATCATTAAATACCTCCTTCCAATTATTTTTGGCAATAACTTTACGTATTAATCTGGTCTCACCTCTGCAATTAGTGGTGTTCACCTTTATGGATTTCTACTTTTTATACTTGCTCTGCTATTATTAAAAACTAACATAGCTGGTTTTGAACTCATCGACTTCTTATTCAGTAATGGTTTAGAGATCATCGTTGTTGTTATTCCATTACGAGATATCATTAGTTTATTATTATTACATAATGATGGGATTAATTTAATTAATGCAATTAGTTAATAGTAAGAAATCGATTATAAAGGAGCAGGAACAAGAATCTGATAAATAACGATAGATAGGAGACTATTTGTTAGGTTGATGTTTAGGTTTACAGTAGTTAAAACTCTGGGATTGGGTACATTTGGGTTAGTCAAATTGGCGATTCATTAAATAACTTAAGAGAAGGTTGCAATTAAAATTCTGGAGAAGTCAAAGATAATAGATGTGGCTGACGTGGAGAGAGTCTCTAGGGAAATACACATTTTGAAATTGATTCGACACAAACATGTGATTCAATTGTATGAGGTATTGAATGTATAAATACACCAAGATCATTGAAACGAAGAGGTATATATTTTTGGTAATGGAATTCTGTGATGGCGGTGAATTATTTGATTACATAGTGAAACATTAGAAGTAAGATTTTGAATCATTTATAAAGACTCTCTGAGATGGAAGCATGCAAGTTTATTTAGGAGTTGATATCTGGGATTGAATATATCCATAAATTGAACATAGTTCATAGAGATTTGAAGCCAGAAAATTTGTTATTAGATTATCAAAAGAGCTTGAAGATTGTAGACTTTGGATTAAGTAATACGTATAAACAGGGGGAACAATTAAAGACTGCATGTGGTAGTCCATGTTATGCAGCACCTGAAATGATACAAGGGAACAAGTATGATTCCTTATTAGTTGACATATGGTCATGTGGAGTAATCTTATTTGCATCTATTTGTGGCTATTTACCATTTGAAGATGCCAACACTTCAGCCTTATATAAGAAGATTTTACATGGAGAGTATCAAGTTCCTAATTTTATATCTCCAGAAGGCATCAATTTTCTCAAGGGAATCTTGAATATCAATCCAGAAAAAAGGTTCAATTTAGAGTAAATAAAATCACACCCATGGTTTAAATTGTTTAGGAGATCACATTCTATTCCTCCAGGGATCATTATTGGATATCATAGGATTCCCATCGATAACAATATTGTACAACAATTAAAGGAACTCGGATTTGATGAGGATTTTGTTAGAATATGTTTGGATGCAAATAAATAAAACAAAGTAACAACCTCCTACTTTTTATTGATGAAGAGACATTTGATGAATGGAGGAATATCAACAGCTGATATCAATTCTGTTTATTTTGATTCTAAATTGATTGATCCAGTCCAAAGGGTGTAAAAAGGTAAGCAATTCTATGCATTCTATGTAGATCCAGTTCCAGGGTTCTTGGATGAATCTATGCTCAAAACTTTGAATTCGAACAGGTCTCAAACGAATCAAAGTCAAAGTCGCAAAAACAAAAAAGCGTATACTCAATAAAACAGAGGTCATTATTATTTATAGGAGGAGAAGTTCAATAGATTGATTCAACTAAAATAGTCATATCGACAGGATAGTTTGGACTCGGACTAAGAATAGAGTAAATCGTTTTCTTAGAATGTGTCGTAAAATGTCAAGAAATCAAAAGTTAGGACTGAATCAAATTATAATGCAGACTCCTTATTAAATTAGACAACAATGTTTGCTGGTAAAAGGTAATCGATTTCACCTGCTAATGCCAATCTTATATTGTAATACATTAGTAATTATTAACTCTATCATCAGAACAATAAAAAAAACTAACTCCTACTTCCCATAGAAATTCGCATTAACAAAAGTAAAATATTTTCTCTTTGAATTACTAAAGAAACGTTTAGACTATTTATGATCCTGATGGTCTGAAAATTGTTAATTCAAGTAAACAATAACCCAATGATCAAAAGAGAAGTCTTAATTATTCATGGATGCCCTCAACCTAAACCAATCCCTATTAATTATTTCTACAATCCAAATCTAAAAGAGGATCCAATGATTTGAGTGCTCCTCATTCAACCAAGTGTGCAAACAATCCAAAAGGTAGGTCAATCTTCATGCAGTTTTGATTATATATATCAATAATTTTATTAAAATGAATTTCTTTATGAATCTCTTCGGATAAGGCTCCTCAGGGCCACAACCAGAGAGCTATGAAATCAATGGCTAGGAATATCATGAGTTGAATTTAATTGCTGAAGGAGGTTACGGCTTTATTTGGAGAGCAATCGAAACCAAAACCAGGAAATTTTGCGTTATTAAGAAAATTATTTGTCAAAGCAAAGAGGCAATCGAATAAGCCTAATTGGAATTGGACCTACATGTAATTCATAATCATTCATATCAAATCTAGAGAAAACTCCAACATCCCAATATCGTCAAATGCTACAACGGAGTTATCAAATTTAATAAGAAATTAAATCAGACCATTGCATACATGGTATTGGAATTGTGTGAAGGAGGAACATTAATTGATTTACTGAAAAGGTACAATGAAAAAAGGTTGAGTGAATAATAAGTCCTCCTAGTGTTAAAAGTTATTTTTCACTTTATCATAGTAATTAGTATAAGCAATCAAATATCTTCATACCTAACAACCTCCAATTACTCATAGAGATTTGAAAGTGGAAAATGTGTTATTGCATAATAAAGTATTCAAAATTTGTGATTTCGGTTCTGCAAGCACTGAAAATATTGATTTGAAGTATTGGTATGATCTAAAAATAGCCAATCGAATAAACATCAGATTTCTCAGTATGAAGAGAATTTCGCCAAATAGACTACAGAAATATATAGACCTCCTGAGATGACTGATTTATATTTAAAGTATGAAATCAATGAAAAAGTTGATATCTGGATGCTCGGATGCATTCTATATACAATGTGCTTTTACAATCCACCCTTTTAGGAATCTTCAAAACTGGCTATTGTTGAAGCCTCCTATGTCATTCCAAAGGAAAATAAAGTATTCATTACAAATTGAATGTATTAGTATTCTAATAAGATGATTAATTTGATTGGGATTATGCTTCAACCAAACCCAAAGGACAGGGCCTCCATCTTTTAAATAGAAGATATATTGAAGAATTACGACACCTTGACATAGATAGTAATAAATAACATCAATGATTAGGATAGCAAAAATTAATAAGAGGATGACTTTGGTGAATTCTAATCAGGAGATTAAAAAACATAGGAATAATAACAATAAAAGACTGTTTAATATGATGATTCATTAATTTGATATTGTGTACATTTGATGTGTATTTCTAATAAACTATTTGAATTTCATTTATTATTATTAAAATGAATTCCTTATTTACTATTCTTTAGGATATTCAAATAAATGTACCCTAATCACAATTATAACATTCTTTTGTTTTATGTGGTCAACCTCAATCTGGGAAATCAACAATCGTACACTTTTTGATTCAATTTAGGTCTCCAAACTAACATCTCAGTAAATACAGGATCAAGCAGGCCTAATTTACGCATAATAAAAGACAAACATTATTGGCTATTAAGCAGTGCTCTAATACTTTGAGATTTCTGGATAAGCCTTTAAATAGTTATTGACTTTGCCATTAAACAAGCAATCATACTAATAGTACAGTTATGTTTTAGTAATCGATTTATCTGATAACCCTCATGAAATATTAAATGTTTGCAATGCAGAAATTAGGTATATCAGAGAAGAAACAGAAAAGAAGTTATAATAATCAATTGATGTCGATACCTTTAAATAACTGGAATTAAATATTTATGATAAGATCATGATGCATCATGACAAAAACAGAATAGTGCCTTTATACGTACCCATCATCATTGTAGGATGGAAATATGATTTGTTCTCTAAAAATCTGGATTTAGAATCCAGAAAATGGATAACAAGAGGTTTAAGATACTTAGCACATACAAATAATTGTTCACTTGTATTTGGAAGCAATTAGGATTACTAATTTGTTAGATAGACGTTGTAATACCATGTGAAACCTACTGCTTCGATTTATCAATATGACCATTTGAAATAAATATGTATCACTCAACTTTCTGATTCAATTGAAAATATCAATCTACCCCCATCTGGTAATAATCCTTTGGATGGATTCAATAAAATAATTAAAGATCAAATTGTTGCTGTAGTAAATAATCAAAAAAAGAAGAAACAATCGAAAATAACAGAGGAGGATTGGAATAACTATAAGGAAGAAAAAATTGACAGACTTATAAAGCAATTTGAATTTTAATAAAAGTAAACCGCAAAGCAAGAGGAATCGGTATTAATTTGACACAATATATTTATATATTTTTTTATAAATGATTTTAGAATTAATTTTGCTATTTACAGGTGTGCAATCTATTACTTTAAAGTTCAAAGTACCACCTGGTTAATAATAATGTATCAAAGACTCTGTGTCCTAAAATACCCTTATTTATGGCAATTTTGATACAACATCATCGCTTTATACTTTTACATTGAGTGTAATAACAAATATATATCCAAATATAGGTTATAAATTAATAGGATTAAGAGTCAGTCATAATAGAATACTCAATTGATATCAATCAATAATTTCATTATGTTATGGAGGAGTCTGGAGAAATCTCAATGTGTTTTGAAGCAGATGATTATGCTGATGTTATAACATTTAATTTATTTTATGAAAGCGGTACTTAATTGTCATCAATATTAGGGGCTGAAGTTTATGACTAAGACTTATTAGCAAAAAAATAGCATGTTCTTAATTTAAATGAAACTTTAGAAACAATGGAATAATTGTAATAAGATATATCTAGAGAGCAATTACTAATTGTTGATAGAGAAAATAAACGAAAGCATAGTTTTACGGACATTCAAACTAAAATAATTGGGTTTGCTGGTATAACCTTTGGATTATTAATTATTGTGGCTACTTGTTAAGTTATTTATGTCAAAAGATTTGTAATATATAAGAAATTAGCGTGATTTGTTTGAGTATAAATTTGTTAATCCAGTGATATTTATATATAAGAAATTTGTGAAGAAGTATTATTTTAAAAATGTGATGCCACAATAAAAATAAATCAAGAGGAAACAGTTAGATTTTGCTAATAATATGAAGGATTGACTCTAATATTTTTGATAAGAGATGAGGAGATTTCTTGAGTCTTTTGGGTTGTCTCACTGTTTTCATGTATTTTCATTGTTTACTATTGAGATTTTGTTCTTGATTTATAAGATCTCTCATAAAATTGGTCTACTTTAATATTAATTCATACCAAATTATTTCATATTTTACTTTTCTGTTTGTGTCTCTAATATATCGTCAGTTGTTCTATTCAACAGAATTAAATTAGGTTTTGGTTTGCTAGTTTTGCAAATGTTGATGGTCTAATGTTTCTAACTGTATGTTATTATAGAGTTATGATCATTTTCTTAGATCTCAGTGTGATAGCGGTGATGCAATTTCAATTGAGGCACCCTCAGGTTTGCGTCTTTATTGATTAAGGAGTGAAATTTTACTGAATCGTTTTTTGGATGTTTATATTATTAATTTAAAGCCTCTTATTTTTCTTTATAAAATAGGATTAACTGTTGCAATTAAGAATTTTTGGTTGCTTATTTTAGTAATATCATTTTCTAATTATTAACTTCCTTTAAAATTATTTATGTATTTTAAATACCTATTCAATTTCTTTGATTTTAACTTTGAGTTACTAGTTTTCACATTTCAATTCAGTGCATAACTTGTTTAACACTTAACATTCATTCCTAAAAAAGACTAATTTATTTTAAGCATTTACTACCTATTCTTTATAATCAGAATTATATACTTCAGTCTCATTCTCATGATAGGCTATGTATTCTTCAAATTTCTACTGTAGATTTCTAAAATCAGATGAGATTTGCTCGACAACTATTTTAAAAGCCTTAAAAAAAGCTTGTTTGCTGGTTCTATAATAGCGTTGAGATTCTGGAATTGGTGTTAATCATTAAACCCTCTATGTCTCTGCACATCTCCTTCAATTTCTTAGCTGCATTCGAATCAAGGGATTCTAGGATTGGTATCTAAGCCTCAGTAATTAAATGAGATGCCATGTTATTTAATTCAATATAATAAATAAATGAATAGAGAAGTCAAATTTGGTTGTTTTCTTATAATTAAACAAAGAATTTCGATCTGGTATGTAATCCAACATTGAATCCTTTTTTAGTGAATTTTTGTAGAACCTATTGGAATCTTTAAATGTCTAATCTCTAAGAATTATTGAGAAATTCTATTTTAGAACGAAATAACATACTTCTCGCTATAATTGGCTTCATCCCGAATTGTTAATAAGATTCTTACAAGAATTTCTCGAATTTTTATTAGTCTTTTAATTCATCGTGTAAATATTAGCATCTTATGCCATAAGGACAAAATCCTTAATTAAAATAGCGATTGCATGGTTTTGTTTTGTATTTTTAATGTAAATGTGTTTTAGCTTATAACTCTAATTAACCGTGGGCAAATGAACACTAAGAAATAACCTTATAAAATACCTCATCTCCAAATTTACAAAATCCAGTCAATTCAAAGTTCTTGCACAATTCTGTCTTCTTCTTCTTTGTATATTCTTCAATATATTATCTTTTTTCTTCAATTGTCTCAAAATATTTTCTCTTTGGCTAAACGCTAAAAAATAAAAAAATTCTTTACTCTATTTGAAACTTTTCATCCTCATCATCAGTACTCACACTCTAATAATAATCGTTTATCTAGTTATAGTAGATCTCAGCTGGAGTTGGGTTACTCATTAAATTAATTAATAATGAATTTTTTTATTCTGCATTCCATTATAAAAACAATTTTTGTTATTAAATCAAAATATGGATTGAATTTAATTCAACCTGATCAGAAATCCCATTGTAATATCAAATGATAGAATTTTAAATCTTATATAATACTATTAGTGTCTACTTCCCTTTCTTAAATGCATTCCTTATCAGAATTTAAATGTCAAAATTAAAGTTATTCTTTACTATTTATTTTAAAATTCTCATATAAATAATGTACAAACACCTATACAAATGTTTAAGATGACTTTGCAAAATAAGGTTGTTTAATATGGACTTTTAGTATCGTTATTTTAAGAATAAAAATCATTGGTTTAAAATGCCATTCTCTTGAATTCTTACTGTAGTTATATTGCATTTAACATTTCTAAAGCCTACTCCACTACATTCAATATGTCATAATACTCAACTTCAAGTTATCTAATTATTCAATATATGTAATCAATAACTAAAAATATTGGTTAAAAAAATCCTTTAGTTTTGGAGTATGTTGATTTATATTACAATATTGGTTAAGATGCCTAACAGATTTGCTTTTCCAAAAACAATTTTTTTTAAGATTAAAAATAATTATCATTGCTTTCTAATATCGACATATTAGAAACCTATAATGGCTCATATATAATATACTCTATACAATACATTTTTATTGTTTAATAGTTATTTGATTGCATTCTTCCATCACTTTCTTGTTTTAATAACAAAAAATTTTAATGGAAACTAATTGTGATTTCTAAAATTATCGAAATTTAATAATATAAAGTAGATCTCATTTATTTACTTAGTTAAATGCTACCTCGGTATATCACATTTTTATTAATAAGAATTGATTGAAGTCCAAATTCAAAGAACCAAATTATACTAATATAAGAATATGATAAATAAAGAAAAAAATCGATTCTGTAGTCTTGGATTCAATTGGAATGAAAAAATAAGAAATATATCACAATCCCTCTATTTAATATAGAAGGAATTATTTAGTTAAATAATAACATCAAAATGTCCATTTATATCAAAAATTTAATGTATCCTTTAACTATTTACATAAATTTACAATAAAATAGAATTTGAATATTAATTAATGAGAATAAATAAACAAACATTGATATTCTTGTTAATTTACATTTAAATTTATATCATAATTATATTCTAATCAGAAATATTTTTAGTATATATCAGAAATCATTAATTTAAATATATATTTTCCGAAATATTTGGTTATATTTGAATCTATTTATTAGTTTAGGCTTTGTCAATAGATAATAGAAAGAAAAGTAAAGATCGCTAAAATTTGTGTAATAAAACAACTGTATGTGAAAGATTCAATTAATTAAATTAATATCTTAAATAGTCTAAATTGATTATAATTATATTGCTTTCATTATGTAGGTTTTATCAAAATTGATTATATATCTATTAACCACTATTTGATTAATGATATTAAGTTGTTAAGAGTAATTTTCTTAAATAATTATTTTTAATTTAATAATTGATACCTAATCTTAACTTTTACAAGTATTGATTATTATTTCATTACTATCCAAGGGTTTCTCACTTTTTTATGAATTATTACTCATCAGCAGCAATTTATTTTTATACATTTTTATTATTCATCTAATATCATAAATTTGAACCTTACTTGTAAATAAATATATTCTATTAAAGAGTTCAAATATCATCAATTGGTTATGAATTAGAATTTGAAATTTATTTTAATTTACATTTCTCCTTTTATATTTATATTTATTATATTAATTAAATAAAATTAAAAATGTCCAAAGGAGATGCTAAGAATTTGAAAGAGGAGATTCAAAAATTATATGATCCTTTGTTATTTTATCAACATGGAGACAATCCTGCATACAAAAGATACGTTGAAATAATGCAGGAAAACGCTTAAGAGGGTAAACAAATAGATCCAAGAACTTATTTTGTTAATAAATTGCAAAGGTAAATAGTTTATCATATTAATAAAGAATCCATGTAGCAAGAAATATCTAAGATTTTGTTGAAAGAGATTTGAAATGTTTTAACTTTGTTCGAATTTTCCCAGTTTGGATATGTACAACAGGGTTCTTTTTACAAGGTATATAAAGAAATCAGTATGAAAAGCTGCTTTAACACACAGATAAATGTTCTTGCCAATTGGATAGAGAGGTATAACAAGTATCAAATAAACCTCATTCTTTTACAAGTATTAATTTATTTCTATGTGATTCAAGTTTTGGGTATGTTGGATTAGCTGGTTATGGGTTGTATTTATTTGGAGCCTCTTATTTATGGTGGTAAGTGACTAAAATGACAGCCAACAAATTCTATAAGCATTGCTTATTGGGAGAAAGACAATGGTCATATGAGAGAGAGAGATAAAATAACACTTATGGAAATTACTACTTTAAGGATGTTCCTTTGTCATGTGAAGAGAATTTCCCAGATCTGGCTAGAGGAGAAATTGCGAAAAAGCAAAGACCCAAGCCAGAGTGGTGATATATTAATATTATTCATTCACAAATCAATATATTAGCATATGATTTAAAAACTATATTATTAGTATAACTATATTATAAGAATTTAGAATTGATTGAGACGCGATATATATAGAATACATAAATTAAAAATTAAATATAATTCAATTTCCATTTTATGAAGCTATTTAAATCAGCATTCGGAAAGAAAGAATAGGACAATAACTAATATATATTAATATAATCTAATGGTACATTCACTATTGATGAATAATTTATTACTCCATAATTTTTATATAATCCTTCATATTATTTAACAAAAATATTATCTATATAATTCTTTCTTTCTTTTTCTACTATTTATAATTCTTTTTATTTTTAATAATTAAAATCTCATTCTTTTTTTTAATAATTATTTTCCATTTATCAATATTCTTTTTATTTACTATTTATTATTTTTTCTATCATATACTATTTCTTTTATAATTCAATATATATTTATTTATCTTATAATTTTTATTATAATCACTCATCATCTATC